TCACTGGTTTATCTACTAGATGTTCAACATGGTAGCTTCTTCAGGAGAACTGAAGGATGCTTCCTCATTATGAGGAGACATGGGACATGGAACAGAAATTGCAAGAGGACAGGTCCTTTCTTTCCCTGACATCTGCAAAGTGTCAGTGGCAGGACTGATGAGCTGGCAATGAAACCAGCTTTTTCTGATGAAAAGATGCTAAGCCATGATCGACTTCAGTTACTTTAAACAGAGCTTGTGCCATCCTCTGAATTAGAGCTTTTGGAGCCATGTGTTCCTTACAAGCCCTCTTAATTGTTAATATGGTAAAGAAATGGTGCCTTACTTTTATACAGCAGGCAGGCAGGTGAGGGCACCACACTGTGCCCTGAGCTGGTGTTAGATGGTAATTCAGTCTCATACCCCACAGGCAAATTCTCCGTGATGCTGTGGGCATAGCTTGCAGGTCCAAGCCATAGGTAGATGTCCACCTTTGCCTGCACAGTCCAGCCCAGTGGGCGCTTGCCTGGTAACTGAAGAAAAAAATCCACACATCACCAACAAACTCAAGAGAGATGGATGGATGCTAAGTCCTACCAAGCCAGAGCAAAATTAAAGAGCATTCACTGAGCTGATATACTGAAATATGGCATTTCTCCACAGAGAGTGGCTCAGAGACCCTTTTGGCACAAGAAAACTTTGTGATTATTAGGAAAGAAATGAGTAGTTTGCTCAGTTGAAAGTCTCCATCAAATGGCATACTAGCTAATATGTGCAGGTATGTGCAACCTAGCTAATAGCTGGAAGCATATCATGCCTGGCTGGTATCTTACTTTTACCAGACTTCATCCCACTGTACATTTCAGGCAGTTTTGCTGGCCTCCAATAGTCAGTCCCTTGTATTACTAAAACTATTACCCCATTGGGCAGGTCAGAAAATGTATTCCAGTATTAAACATTACTAGTCTTGATAAAAAAATACTATTATTTCCTTCCTCTCCACTCCCACTTCAACTAGCTCTGCTAAGCATATTGTTTAGTATTGTTATCTGTTCCTAAGGTAATTCTTGATATTGAAGGGGCTGGAGGGTTAATTATGATTTTTTTTTGTTCATGCAGGCAATTAGTACTGTGCTAAACAAGGACCTATGGCAACTATCAGGAGCTTAGATCTTCCTATCTGTTCTTTAGCTGTGCCTTATAGGAGTGCTCCCAGCAGCTCCAGATGAATAAACAATAAAAAGTCATTATATGAAGTTATGACTGTCTCGTGTGTTTGGGCTTTTCCTGGTGGCCACAGTAATAGTCACGTTGCATAATATTCCACTGTCAGGTACTACCGGTCACTCTGCCTTTCTACGAGCATATCCGCTAAGACGTTCCTTGAAGATGAATAATTCCATAACAATATTTTGGACATATATTGCACAAAGCTAGGAACATTACAAATAGAAAACATAAATAATTGCTGTATTACCTCTGAATACCTAGGTTTCCTTGCTATCTGAGTTGCTGTGTGCTGAGATCTCTTACCAGTTTCCTTCTGGGATTTCATGTGCTGCATTCTGATGTCTTTGCCAGCAAAAAGGCTGTACCTCTTCTATCAGTTTACGTCTATAGCTATAGATAAATAATGCTATATACTTCCCATAACAAGCAGTGAGTACCAGGTGAATTAATTACTCATACACCAAAAGCCTGGAAATGATACAGTGTTTAAAGAAGGACAAGCATAAATGTAAGAAGGAAACAAAAATAGATGGCAGATAAAATGTGTACACATTTTTAATACATTACAAAGATGAGCCTGTAAAATATAATCCCTGGAAGATATTTGAATACCGAATGCTCCCCAGGCTTTACCTGTGTTTGCAGAGTGCCCCAGACTTACTTTCAAGAAATGGGTTTTAATCTTCCCACAGTCCTTGCCTCTCTGCTCGTTTGCTGTGGAATAGAGTATGTCTTTTGCCGGGACTCTTGCATATGCAACTCTCTTGTTACTGCTGAGCATCCAGATGAAGACATCAGGCACTGTATTCTGTGGCTGTTAAATAATGAGGAATATTGAACTAATACTGAATTCTTTCTATGAGTCACCACCATTATTTTTTGTTAAAACACTCTCTACCAAGAGCTGATTCCCCAATGGCTCCCTGTGGAGTGGCAGATGTGCACCCAGACTAAAAGACGCTGTCACTTCATGCTTTGCAGCCCAAACTTCCATTCCTAAGCATAGCTGAAGTTAAAGAGCTTTGTAGAGTGATTAAGGAGCACCCACTCTCTAAATAATTTCAGGAGAAACTAAAACTAAAAATCTGGGTATGACCCTGTCTCGGGAAATAACTTACCCATCAACTGCATAAGCCGAAAGCACCCACCATGGAAATACCATCAACTTAATCTATAGCAGAAACCAGAAAGGACCAGGGCCAAACTCAAGCGCTGGCATATAAACATCTGTTCTGCTTGTGAAGATGCTCCATGACATGGCCTTGCCCTGCCCCAAACAGCATTTCCCCAAGCAAAGCCTGAGCGCTGTTCAAAGCAAAGAGCAGCTCAGGGGCTGTTCCCAGGAAGCACTGTGGGTGAAGTCACTCTGGTTTGGGAAGGAAGAGGATTTGGAAGTAGGATGCAAACCATGGCCAGGCTGTGCCACTTGCTCTCTGAGCCAGTGAATAACCATGGTCCTTTTTAGTTTGCTAGCACAGGCAGCTCTCAGAGAGACAGCACTCCACTGTCTGGATTTTGGCCTGACACTGTTATTCTCAGGCTTAACGGTATGTCTTAGCAGTGTCTGTACAGTGAAGTGTAGTCCAGAGATCCCTGAGCTCATACCAGTCCAAATCACTGCGTCCATACAAGTAGAGACATGAATTCAGATCAGAAAGCGGTCTGTCTCCAAGCCACCAGGGCACATGGGTTGGCCTTATTTTAAAAACTTTTTTAAAAAAGAATAAAAAACTCTCTGTACCACATCCTCTCCATACCACATCACCCAGTGTTTCCTATCCCAGTCTGTTAACAGCTCCATTTAATGTAAAACAGGATTGTGTCCAGATATCCAAAGGAGAATGCTTTGGATCACCAAGCCAGGAGATAGTAATCACATGGGATTATGAAAGTCAAAGTCAAGCCCTGGATTTTAAGTTTATCTGAATTTCTGTGTGGATTACCTCATCAACCAAGAATCGAATTTTATCTATAAAGCTCTGGGTCTCACGCAGCATTTCATCCAGTGGCATCTTCTTTTTCTGCTGCTGAGCAATTCCTTTGGCATCACTGGACATTGCTTCCTGCAGTCAGGAAAGACAATGTGCATTTTTCATGCATTATTAAGTAGTTTGAACTGGACACAGAAGGAGAAAACAGTCTTCAATTCAAGTTGAAAAGAGAAGATGGAGACATTTTGTTCAAGGTAACAATTGCCTTCTTTGTCACAACAGAAAGTGAACTCTTTGGAGCATAACATAAAATGTGAATGTCCCCCATTTTCTCTTTGTTTGTATGTATACTGCATGTATGGAAGTCCCAAGAGACATGTGATTACCAGCTAGAATTATCGGGCCTTGATCCTGACAGAAGTCACAACCGAATTCTGTGCCACAAGCAGTAAATAAAGCTAATGAACGTTCAGACGACCTCCACCCAGTTCGGTTTCTTCTCACTGGTTCCCTGGAGGAGGTGACTAGGTCCAGGAATATCAAATGCCAGACTTTACTGGTCTTGAAGTTCAGCCCCACCACAGTAATTAAATGCCTAACAGCAGTGTTAATTTCGTGGTTTTCCACTGAACTCAGCATCATCCCGTTTTAAGATGCATGGAAAAGAAATATCAGCTCATTATTATAATGTCTTATTTGTATTTAAAAACAACATGTTCTGAATTATTTTAGGGTATCTTACAACTCTTTATTAAGCACAACTGGGTTTCTTAAAAATATGATATTGGATACTATAGTCATATTAATTACAAAGCACTCCAGTATGGTGAAATCAAATAGAAATTAAAATGTACACAACCAGAGAGCTTTCAGTTAACATAATTGCATCAATAATTAAAGGAAAAAACACACATACCAGCTCTTGCTTGAACAGCATGAGTCTCTTTTTGTCCAAAGCAGTGTAGTTCAGCCCTTTGGGCTTCTTTTCAGCAGTGTTAATGAAGGCCCTGGGACACAAGAATAACAGGTTCTTTAAATGGATTATCTTTTTAATGTGAGCTGCTAAAATATATTGGAATGAAATGTTCTCTGTCTCCTGCATTACATGAATCAGAAGACAGAAATGCTGTATTCTCTAAAAAAAAATTGAGCTCCTGTAAGATTCAAAGAACAGAGTCCAAAAACTCTGCACCGCATTTCACAGAAAGAGTTAATGTCTAGAAATTAGGGTTTATATCTATTTTGGGCCCAAACATGTCATCTGACACAGAGCCCACTGCGTGATTTATCCCAGCATGTGGAAACCTTTGTTTTTATCTTAACCTTGTCCTTTCTTACAGTATGTCTATCACATACTTTGTTAAATCCTACTGATCCCATATACATTCTATTCTTAGTGTACAGAAAGCCAAAATAATATGAAAATGATTGGCAGTAGTTTATTGTCAGTATTGAACACTGAAAATAACAATAAAATATTTTCTCTGTATAAATAGAAACTGCAGTTTGGGAAGGCCTTTGCTTTTGTAGAAGAATAAATAAAATATGTATCTCAGTAAGTTTACTGTCCTTTTTTTATTATCATCAGTTTCCTTGTCCAGTCTCGAATCTGTAGCCAACATACAAAATTGATTTTCTGTACACCTCTAAGAAATGTAGTTACCTGCTTTGATTAATAAAATCATTTAGGGTCATGATCATTTTCTCCTCAGATGCAGTCTCTGAAACCTTGATCAAATCCTTTACTTCCTCTAATGATTCTTCCTACAAAAAACACGGGAAAAAGCTGTTATGTAAAGAAGGGCACTTTGTCATTTTGCCAGTGTATGACTAGCAAGAATGAGGGAAGCAGCTGTAACCTGACAGATGTATCACTACAGTTGAAGTGCACAGAGAGAAGACTCCAGCAGCATGATTTATTTTGACCTTTCACCAGTCTCCTCAACTACTAGTCCAAGCTACTACTCCTTGGAGCAGCTTTGTTTTCTCACTTCTTTGGTGAAGATCAGTCAGTGGGAAACATTCCCCACTAAGCAGCAGGAAAAACTGTAGTTCTCCTTGGTTTTATTTCCAGCCCTGCTGCTTAAATTTAGGAAGCTGATGGAGTTAACTTCTCAAACATCAGTGGGCACCTAAGTCCATATGCAAGGATTACTACAACACTTATTGTTATCATTGAGAAATTGAGTCTGTCCTCACAAACTAAAATAAGTGTCTGGGTTTCCAGCAAGTCCTGTGGGTGTTCAGTCAGGTACACTGACAAGCATATCTTTCCATATATACACTCAGATACTTAATTTTCAAATTCCTGGGTTGAAAATAGTTGGCCTATAAGCCATTATATTGTCATTATACACCCTTGCATCAGCACGAATTGAGTGTTGCTGCTTATGAAGTATGTAAACATAAACAAGGGGTGAATCAGACAAATCTGAGTGCCCAATCTGAGTGCATTAAATTGAAATATTCAACATTAGAGGTCACTTCAAAAAAATAAAAATTACTAGTTTCTTGAGACTGTTGATAGTGTCAACTTTAAACAAGAAAAAACATAATTATTGGAAAACACATAATTATCGGAAAACACTGATTAGGGCGGTCAACTTTAAACAAGAAAAAACATAATTACGGGAAAACACATAATTATGGGAAAACACTGATTAGGGCATCACAGTGAATGCCCATGAGATGATACATCATTTTATTTCTATCAGTGTTTTTAGGAAAATTAAAACCAAAGAAGTGTCCTTGTGCTGGTTTTGGCTGCGATGGAGTTAATTTTTCTTCATAGCAGCTAGCATGGGGGCTGTGTTTTGTATTTGTGCTGGAAACAGTGTTGATGACACAGGGATGTTTTAGCTGTTGCTGAGCAGTGCTCACACAGAGCCAAGGCCTTTTCTGCTCCTCACCCCACCCCACCAGCGAGGAGGCTGGGGGTGCACAAGAAGCTGGGAGGGGACACAGCTGGGACAGCTGACCCCAACTGACCAAAGGGATATCCCATACCATATGATGTCATGCTCAGCATATAAAGCTGGGGCAAGAAAAAAGAAAGGGGAGACATTTGGAGTGATGACGTTTGTTTTCCCAAGTAACCATTACGCAAAATGGAGCCCTGCTGTCCTGGAGATGGCTGAACACCTGCCTGCCCATGGGAAGTAGTGAATGAATTCCTTGGTTTGCTTTGCTTGTGTGCGCAGCTTGTGCTTTACCGATTAAACTGTCTTCGTCTCAACCCATGGGTTTTCTCACTTTTACTCTTCCAATTCTCTCTTCCGACTTAGCAGGGAGAGTTAGTAAGTGGCTGTGTGGTGTTTAGCTGCCTGCTGGGTTAAACCACAACAGTCCTTTAAAGAGCCTCCAGCTTTAGCACAGGTTAAGCCATGTGGGCTGACAAGAAGATATCAGAGGAGGAGCCATGGGAGACAGAATTATTCTGTATCCCATATTTTAATTGTATGACTGTTCTTACAAAGAATAAAACATTTCTGAGGAAAACAGACAGACCTACAGCCAAAAAAGAATAATAAATTCTGGATGGGAATACTTGTCTAGCTATAAGAAATCCAAGCAATTTGAGGAAAAAAAAACTGACAAGAAGATATCAGAGGAGGAGCCATGGGAGACAGAATTATTCTGTATCCCATATTTTAATTGTATGACTGTTCTTACAAAGAATAAAACATTTCTGAGGAAAACAGACAGACCTACAGCCAAAAAAGAATAATAAATTCTGGATGGGAATACTTGTCTAGCTATAAGAAATCCAAGCAATTCGAGGAAAAAAAAAATTAAAAAAAAAGAGAATGGGATTATATTAGCTACCTTCACAAATGAACAGCAAGGAATGCAGTTGGGGGAAATTCTGAAGGCCTGTTTTGGGGAAAGTGACCTCTCACTGCCATGCTCTGTTGCATACATGAGCCTGGGAGGATGTTTTCCACTTACCAGGTGATCTGCCATTTTCTCAAGAGTGTTAGAAGAGTATAGACGAAATGTCTGGTTGCCCCAGTAGCTCTTGATACAAACACAGGGCTTCCTCTCGTCATATGGCAGGTACTGGTAGTTCCTGTGAAAACAAAATACAGAGCAGACCACAAAAGTGAGAGAGGAGTTCAGGGGGAGGCACAGGAAAGAAAAACTGTTTAATGCTATATCACATCACAGAAACCGAAGACACAACAGGATGTGTTCAGCAACCGGCAGAAAAAATGGTTGCATTTTCCATTTTCTTTCCTCTGGGAGAGGTTGTATATCCAAGAAAGGAGAGTGCACTTGGTATGGGGAGAAGACTTGACTTCTTCCATTTCAAGGTCTCTCTACCTGAGCACAGCCTGATCATCCACTCCTGAAATCCAGAGCCCCAGTAGACTGAGTTGCCTAAGCATGGGCATCCACCTGTGGGCCCAGAAGAGACTGGGTCTCTCGTGTTTGCTTGTAAGGATTCCTCAGATACTCTAAGTCATTTCAGATAGAAGTGGGTACATGTGTTTAACCTTTAAGACAAGCCCACAGAAACCAAATCATTTGCCACTGTTGAGTGTCCTATCCATAACTCCTAACTTCCACACATCCCTGATAGGTTTATGTGAGAATTTTCCTGTTCAAAAAGATTAAGATCTTCTCTACAACTTATTTTGCTGTCCTATGTGATATCAAAAGAGAAAGAGAACTTCCCATTTACCTTCTCCTCAATAACCTACAGCAAGGTGAGCGTTACCCATTGGATTCGGTGCATAGCAGAGCCATACAGGTCTCAGGCAATCATTAAATTTGGTGGTTTCATAAGAGGGAAGAACAATTCAACTATCTCCCAATGCCAGAGTGTCTTTTCATGGGATTTACTAAGAAAATTATTCAGCCATGAAATAATGCAGATGGAAGACTGAACTTTCGTGTCTCTTATTCCCTCTATGACAACTTGGAGGAACCACTTTTTCAGTGTTATCTTATCCTTGCTAAATATATTTTGATGTAAATGTGAAAATATGTGGCAATTTCATGGTGTCTGCTTTAGAAGTCTTATTGCTCCGCCTGCTCCTTTAATTAGTTGTTTTAATCTCCAAAACAGACTCTTGTTATTGTTTTCTGCTGTTCACTTATGATTCTAAAATGCAGAGTGCATCTAAAGTATTGGATATTCCATTAAGTACTGATTAATACTAAAAATATCCAGTGATGAGACCAGTAAGATGCCAGTATGAGATGTCATAAAGTTGTTAGTTGGTATCTGTGGCTGGCCAACCTGTTTTAGATAGCACAGGAGGGAAAAGAAGACACAGCATTTTACATAAATTTGAGAAAAAGGGATCCTTAATGTGAGAAAACTTCGTTAATATTGGACTGAGCCAAGAAACAAATAGCAGATTTGAAGAATGATTCATTCTTTTACAATGGTTCTTTAAATCTAAATTCTTGTTAAGGGAAAAACTAAAAATCCCATGGTCTCTCAGGGAGGATAATAACCCAGCATGTACCCAATTCTGCAGTTCTGCTAATGAGGAGAGGCAACTATCTTTCTGTCAGACATTGGGTTTTTCCCCCCTTTTCTTTATTCAGTTGCTGCAGAAACAAAAATTTGTACCATGGTATTTTCATTCTTGTTTTATTCCACTTAACTCTTATTTAATCTGACTGAGTCATTGATTGCAAGAAATGATGAAAGTACTTTTTAAATTTAGAGAGACCCAGAAACCAAACAGATCCAGGTTGAAATTTCCTTGTATCTGTAAAATGCTTGTCAGTGCTTGGCCTTCTAAGGAAAGAGGTACCAACTAGTCTTGGCACTCAGTAATATCAGTGATTGTTCTACCTACCACAGCAACACAGAAAATATTTCTTTTTGTTAGCATATTTGAAAAGAATTAAACCTTTGCACTTCTGGTTATAAACAAGGCCATTTAGAAGAACTTTTCTGCATGTTTTCATCCATTGCTCCATTTTTTTTTTTTCAAGGACTATTTCCTCCTACTTCTGTTACTACTTGTTATTTAAGTCTGCATCTATAATTATCACCTCTGGAAAGTGTTCTGGGAATCTGACTTTGTCTTGACCGGATTGCAATACTTTTGATGTATCATTCTGTTTCTGGAGCTGATCACTGGGTGGACGTTACTTGTGACCAGGATGTGGACTCTAAATCAGTGATAGTACTGAAGGAGTTGCACTTTCCTATAGCTTTCCAAAGCAGAGCTGGTGTAATGTAGCACTTTTAGAAACAACAGAAGTTCAAAAGCCCGTCAGGCCAAGATCAGAATATGAGTGTAAAATGGCTCAGAGTCCATTCACTTCAGTGGAGCCTGGAAAATTTACTGTTGTAAAAGATGTGATCGATGGTCAACATCCTCTCGTGAAAGCCTCATTTCCACATAATCTATTTAATACTGCCAGGGTTCATTAATTAATCCAACAGGATTATAAAATAGGAACCAGAGTCCTGAACGATAAGGTTTTGAAATACAGATCCTCACCTGTTCCCACCTGTGATTAGTGGCTTCTCGGGGTGTGTGGTGGATATCAGGGGTACTCCAAGGTCATGAGAAATTTCTTCCTCCATCTCACGCAGCAGACTTTCTTCTGCTTCTTTCGGGGTGTGTGGTGGATATCAGGGGTACTACAAGGTCATGAGAAATTTCTTCCTCCGTCTCACGCAGCAGACTTTCTTCTGCTTCTCCTTCACGTGTCTTCTTTTTCCCTCCAGCTCCTGCTGACACCCCATCAGTAATATTTCCAAAGTTACCTGGAAACACAGGGTTACAAGTCAAGACTAGCTTGGAGGTGGTAAACCTGAATGAGGTTTAAAAAAGAGAAAGACCAGTCGTGCCAGTGGAAAATTTTTGTCCCCTGCTGTTCATCAGTTGTTCTGGACATACTGCAGTTTATAAAGGCCCTGTCAGGGTATGTTGGTCCCAATGACTTTTCAGACTCCAGGACAGTGCTTCCTTACTTGTCCTATGTGATACATCCCTAGTACACCACCTCCACCACTGAGTGACGTGATTCTCTGGTTGCTGGCTCCCAGGACCTTCTGCTTCTGCTAAAGAAACTCAGAAGCAAAACCAACACTGCTGTTGATATTTCTAGACCCAGGAGCCCCAATGTGCATTTGATTTACATAGCAAACATATGCCTTCTTTACAACATACGGATGATCATTTCAAAGTCTGGTCTCAGAAGTGCTAAACCTTGTTTTCAGACAAGCAAATTTTGCATAGTATGGTTGCAGAGTTTGTAATAATAATGCTTTGAGGCCCCAGCTTCAAGCCTGATATCAGACAACTCTGCTAACGATACAGCCATCTTCTCTGACAGGATTTTTCCTTAAAGGGCAATTATCAGCACTGGGAAAGAGGTACATCCATCAGACTGGTAATTACAGATTTTATTAGAGACAGACAGAAAACATTCCCTGAAGGAGAAGGATGTGCTGAATCACCCCATACAACATCCTGATCTGGACTTTTGTTTCAGCCTTTCATGTAAATAACGGTCATTTGCCAATTTGGATCCAAATTTCAACTGCACAGGTAGCTGGTAGATATTCAGGTTCAGAATTCACAGCCACATTCATCTTTACTATTAATTCTGACAGGAAGCATTGTAATTTCTTGCCCAACTATACAAATGAGTTTCTTGTCATTCTCAGTTCTGCTTCAGGAATCAATATCACTCATTGATTGCCCTGTGTGTCACAGACATCCCTCCCTGCACATGTAGCCTTACATTTGAGCACATTCAGGTACACAGGCACAAAGATGGGAAGTGCCAGGGTGCTACTGTGCACTTGGACTTTAAGTGGGGCTAGTACAGAGAGATAAGCAAACCCCTGCAAAGGAAATGAGACCAATTCAAACTTCTCTCTTAAGGGAAATTTCTTCTGCTTTGAAAATATCCACTCAATGTTCATGAACATGTCTTTATTGTCTCTTTAGTCTACTCCTGGGGACAATTCAGCTCCACAGCGAGGAGTACGCAGTACAGTCCTGCTTTACTCAGAAAGAGAACAGGATTTACCAGGAGGATCTTAGAGGACAAGCTGGTGAATGCATTTTGAGGCTGGGCTGTACATGACCCCCATGCCACACTCAGACCCACACATAGGTCAATGGAGTTGGCCAAGAGTATCTACATGGGTCCTCTCTGCAAAGGGGACAGGGACTAATTCCAATGGGAACCACAGAATAAACTGTGCCCTGAGGTAAATTATTTGAGTTGGGTCTCTCGAGAGATTAGGAGGTTAAATATTGTGTGATTCACTGTACATATTGGGTGAGAGGATTTGTATTAATACAGGGCATCTGGGAGTAGAGACAGCTGGGCGTCAGTATGCCCAGCTTGACTGCTACCCAGAGAAATGATGATCAGGGTTTAATTCCAATGTGTAAGCCCTGATCTGAAGCTGCCTCCTGAGCCCTGAGTCACAGCTGTCAATAATACACAGCATCCCCTTGCTCCTGAGACTCCCTCTCGGCTTTGGAGAAGAGCTTGATACACTTACCAATGGAAACCTCAAAGGTTATTGGCTTGTCCCCAACCTTCCTATCAATCATTGTGGCTTCAAAAAATGTCCCAAAGAGGAGGAATTCCTCAAATTTTTCTTCATAGATCTATTGGAGAAGAAGGAGGCAGAAAAATTATTTTATCTTCTCTTTTTTACAGCACAGAGTCCCTGGCAGCTGTGTTATTATTGTAAATCTATTCGTCTGAAGTGGTCAGTGAGGCACAATTTGTAGGAAGAAGTAACACTACTCTGAGAAATTTATGACTGAAGAAAGAAATAAACCTGTGTGATTTTGCTCTTGTCAATAGTGTCCAGTTATATCATAACTGATTGCACAGAAGTCATTACCCCTCACTTCATACTGTGCCTTACCAGTACTCGCTATTAAATGGTTTCAGTAACTTCACATACTGTTACACATCATTCAAACTATACATCTGTGGTAGTTCAAGGGTGCTTTTAGCACAACAGCAACAAAATATCACCACCCCGATGGAAGTCATCTAGTAGTGAATACAGCAGTAGTCTTCCTTTGCATTGCGATAGTAAATGCTGCCATCCTAACACATCCAGGCAGGGAGGTTCTTGCCCAGCTGTGCTGTCCCTGGGGATGACTTTAACCTAATACCCATGCATTTGCACTTTCAAGACTTTGACTTTGCTCAGGGACACTCAATTCTCGGTGATGGCAGTAAGACTCAAAAGATTTCTGGCATCCACCTTTTATCAGACTGCAGCCCTGTGCAAAACCTATTGAAACCAAGCGGTCCTTCACTTTTTTTAATCCTGCTGTGCTTTAAACTACAGGCCCAAGGGTGGTTCTGAGAGCAGGGGAGTGCTGTCCTCTGATATTTGCCTTCCCTGGCATCACAGCACAGAAACCAGTAATCCTGTTTTCAGCTTTTCACAAAATTTGCAAGCACAGGAACCAAAGGGTCTCAGTGCAGCAGCACACCCTGAAAAGTGTAACAACCTTTAAGTGGATGTTAAGGCACTGTTTGGCTTTGTTTACACCTATTGGGGTTCCAGCATCTGCACGTCCTCAGAACACACTCCACTGAAGGAAGGCTGGCTACCTAGCACCTCAGGTGCTCTTGGGTCGTTACCACAAGCTATTACCCCCAAATCAAGACTAAGCTCAAAGGAGATATATTTTATGGTTTGAGTTCTCCCCACATTTACACCCTGACTGCCCAATGCAAACCCCACTCATTTCACAGCATGGACACCAGTATACTGAAGCCCATTAGGCAAGAGCAGTAGTAGCTTCTTTTGCAACAGAGTGAGGCAATGAATAAAAGATCAGTTGTACATGAATATTTGTTTCCCTGACTTTTGCAAAGCAGAAACAGATTTTGATACAGCCCATGGTCGCTTCATTTTGAAAAACCTCTGCTATACACAGTAAAGGGGCATAGGTCTTCACTGAAAGGATTACCAGTGTCACGTATCAAAGCTAACACCAAAACCAGATTGCAACTCCAGAGTAGCTTTAGCTTCCCTGTGCCTTGATTATTTTCAGCATAAACCCAGAGCATAGGGTGCCTAATAAACCTGAGGCTCAGAGACTACAACACACACACCTATCTCCCATTATAAGGAAAGCAAATTGCAAATGTTTAATGTCTTCTTGCTGCTGGAATAGGTCAATAAAGTTGGGCTGTGGGGCTGGGTAATTTGCCTCTGTTGTCTCAGAGGCTCTATAAGACATTTTTTGCCTTATTTGTAATGTCTCCAGTTCCTGCTTTTCCTTTCAGAGAGTTGTAATAACAATTACTGTGTCTACCGTAGCATGAAATATTGCTGAATGTCAAAACCAAAAGAATATCAAGCATAGCTCTATTATGTTGTTGCCTTTTAGCCATTCTGTATTTGAAACTGAGGCACAGTAGCCAGAAATAAATCCTTATTACTACTGTTAATATTTATTGGTGTTACAGCAGGGTTTATTCCTCCACCTGGAGTATTTAGCTAGCACCTAAAACCATAGTGTTTGAGCTGCTCACAGTAATGGATTTCTTCCATATAAAGGAAAATCTATATGGAAATAAATTTCTTTTCATGTCACCTCTATTACAACCTTCAGAGAAGAACTGAGGGACAGAGGCAATTCACAACTATATGAGCATATAAAGCAAGACCAGGGCACGGGTTCACACAACTGGCCTGCAATTACCCATGCCATTTCTCTGCTAACACACTCCTTGACCTGCTCCAGCTGGCACTCGTGCTGGCAATGACAATCTCTCCTGTCCTATTTACTTGTAGAGATGGAGTCAAAAGACTAAGAATCAGATATGATAAACGACATGAGTGCCTTAAGAACTGAGATGGGGCTCCCACTGCAAAAGACAAAGTTTTGATCAGTGACATACTGAAGTGGGAAGAAAATTGGTTATGAGGTGAGGCCGCACCTTGAATCCTGGGGTCAGTTTTGGGCCCCTCACCACGAAAAGTACATTGAGGTGCTGGAGCAGGTACAGAGAAGGGCAATGAAACTGGTGAAGGCTGGACTTGATGATCCTTGAGGTCTTTTCCGACCTTAATGATTCTATGATTCTATGATTTTTCTTTTTATCTATTGTGGAAAAATACTAGAGCTTGCATATGTACCAATGTGCTGTCACACCCAGACAGTGATGTGATGGAGCAGAGAATTGAAGCTCAAGAATTAGCTCAGCCTCTGAGTCTGTATGTCCTACCACAACTCCACATCCTTCTCAAAGCATCGTAACACAGATCTTCCTATGACATAACTCAGTACAACCATACTGAGAGCACTTGGAGTTAGAGAAGCAACATCAGTTAATACCAGTTGAGGCTGAGCAGATGATTTGCAGTCCCTCTCCTAAAGAGATCTGCAATCTAAAACTACATTGACAACGCAGGGTTAAAGGAGGAGAGAGGCCAGGCTGTATCCCTCTGCACTGGCACAAACTCTGCATCCATGATAGGAGGAGAGAGGCCAGGCTGTATCCCTCTTCAGTGGCACAAACTCTGCATCCATGAATCCTTCCTGACTTCAATTGGCAGCTACTGGTTTTCTCAAATGAATTCAGGAAATCAGACTTTATAATTACCAGCTGCCTTCACGACTCTCTGTCATTTAGCAGATATTACATCATATGAGATTCTAGTAGGAGCACATGGGTGCAGCTAGTGCAGAAGGGGCAACAGGGCAGGAGACTAAGTTTTATTGAAACCAAGTCCTACTTGAGATTTTTTATGAGTTACAGGTACACACTAATGCTCCATTGCACTGCATTATTATGGGAAGGTCCCAAGACCATGGAGGCATGGAGAAGCCGTAGGGAGTATATAAAAGCAGTATTACGTGGCCTGAACCGAAAACGACACATTGGTTCCATCCTTGGAGGGTCAGGGACACATCTCAATCAATCTCTTAATATTATACTGACCTCTGAAGGAACATCAAATGGCTCGACTTCCACTTCGGTTGAGTTCATCTTATCTGAAGGAGAAACTGACTTTCGATCCTCTCCTGCTTTCTCAGTTTTGTCTTTTCCTTTGGATGCTTTGAAGTCTTTATCTTTAGAAGGCAATTTGATATCCTTGATAAAACTTGAAAACTTTGACTCACGGGCTCCTCCTGAAAGTATCTCCACAGCAATCTCAATGAAGAGACGTCCCCTGAAGGAGACCCCTTCTCCAAAACCTTCGTTAAGTTCCTGGTGGTCATCCATGAGGCTGTGATTCCTGGGTGAGCCATAGAGATTGATCCAGGCAGGCCCAAATGTAGGCAAAAAACCTGAAGATAAAGCATGTTTTATGGCATTTCTATTAGGTGATAGCACACTCTCCTCACTGTCTGCTCCAAGAAATCTTGCCTCTAGCACACCGAAAGCCAAACCTGGATGCATTTCTACGCAGGTGGGGACCACTTCATATAAAGCACTGTTTTGCAGGGCAATTCTGAGGCACCAAGGAGCCTCTGACAATACCCAATCAGGGAGCTTCCCTATACAAAGCTCTTTCTCGGGAGGTATTTGAACCCCACATGCTGTGGCATGAGGCATATTGTATCTCTTGAAAAAAAGAGCTTGCTCCCACAGACTGAGGTCTGGGACACGGTCAGAGAGGAATGGAAGCTGCCTCACCTTGTCCAAACTTTTCCCAAGCCCATACCACCACCTACCTTATATGATTTATCTTATATGTTCTGATAAAGGACTGAGATACATGTTTGAATTACCAAGGTTAAGGAGTTACTGTGCCTTTGCTAAGCTGTGATAACTGAACATGTTCCACACTTCGATCACACAGCATACATAAAGCTGTATACATGGGCTCAAACATCAGTGAAAAGATGTCAGATAGTCCACTTTATCTCAAATACATGAGGACAAACAAAATAGTCTATGGTACCTCCTTGAGCTGTGATAGCACCCAGCTGAGCCCTACCTAAATGCTTTGCTTTTTCTGGTAGATCAAAAACACAAGTCTGCGTGGTGTGCACTTTGTGCTTTCATTGCCAGGTAGAAACTGGTACAAACTATAAACTCACATCAGTCATCCCTAATGGACTAGAGCAGACTACTGCCATGGTCACAAAGAAGATACCAAATTATGGGGCATCCCTATAACAGGAAAGGCAGTCGCAGACCACCATGGACCAACCACAATGTCATATAACTTCACTTAAGGTAGAGAGTGTCTCTCAGAATCAACAAAAACCCACAGAGGTTCACTTTAGTGCTCTGCTTCTCTAGAACTGGATAAGCCAGTGCCCAGATCCCAAGGAAGCAAGTTTTACAGAAAGAGCATGTTCTGGAACAAACATTTTGCCATTTACCTTTGTCACCATCTTGTTCATTTGATATTTTCTTCAAGTCAATGAAGTGGGTGGCTAAGGCCACATCATTCATGCTGCCTTCATCCCAGACCTGGATTTTAACTCTTCGGCAGAGTGGAGGGAACATTTCCTTGAAGATAATCTGTTCATGCCATACTGGATCTGCACAGTTCTTTTGCACTGTTGTCCGACCCTGAAATGAATGTCTGGAAAACTTAACCCCAGAGGGGTCTGACTCTGGAGCATGGCAATGAGTGCAGCACAAATTGCACTTAACAACATTTCTCCGGTTATTTTTAAAGGAGAAATATCCTATCTTGAAAGTACTTTGGCTTTTCTATTAGCTGCTTTATTTCCACCCCCATATCTAATAAAAGATCATATTATGGCTAAAGAATTCTCACCTGCACACAGCTAAGCCTGGAATAAGTTCTAATTCTTCAGGGCCCTTATGAACAAAACATACCTGTGAAGCCAGACTTTGGCATTTCTGCTAGAAACTGCACATCTTCAAACAGCTTTTGAAATACCTGGATAGTAGTAATGCAGCACATTTGTCTCATAGAAGATGAAATTCATTACAACTGCCAGACTGCATGTACCAATGGAATTACCTTAAATGAGGCAATTTATCTGGTATAAAATATGATCACTGCGGCTCCTGTTCTGGGCATATGCCTGTGTGCTAGGGATGCAGAGACCAGAGCTATTCCTCCTAGCCTGAAGGAGACGGCAGGATGCTATCACAGTCCGTGCAGCCGCATGCTGTGGTAGCCCTTCTACTTTCACATTTGGTGGGGAGAACCAAGTCAGGAAACCCACCAACAATACCTCTATAACCCATATTTTACACGCGCCAGCATGCAAACTCACATCAGTGACCCATTCTTATGTCTTCTTTGGCCCTCTATTAAACCTGAAGTAGCTGCATGCATTTGACCATTTTAGCCCATACTAGTTTGAGATGTAATACTTTGCAATTTGCGTTCACAACGAAACACAAAATCAGCACCGAGAGCCTCATTCTCATCCCTGAAACATCTGTAAAGGGTTAACTGCAGTTCTCCCCAAGGCTTCCTTGCACACAGAAAGCATTCCTGGCTTAAAATTGTTTTCAGTGTGATTCTTTCTTTATTTACACCAATAATCAAGACAAGCTCCCTGACATGGTGTTTCATGGGTGTTACCCCAGAGGAACCCAGCCCCTGGACCTCCTCTGCACTCCTCTTCAACCACAGAAGTCAGAAGGCCCCTCTCAGCAGCTTTCTACAGCATTGTGTTAGATGTGGAAGGAGCTCCGGGACCAATGAAGCCGGATAACATTGAGACACAGTCTACTCAAATGCTTCCTCTTCTGCTGTGGCCGCAAAAGCTGCAACAGTCTTAAACTACAGCAGAATAACTCAGTAGTGAATACATAGCCCTAAAATGCAGATTGAAACATCTTTACTGATTTCAGTCCTGCTTCCTTTTTTCACCCTAGGGAGACTAGAAGGTAGCACTTAACTAACACTGCACTGGGTAATTCCCTGTCTTGTAACTTGATGTTTTAGTAACAGATGTACAGAACTCTCTTTCCCCTCCTGCTGTCTGACTCCAACCTACTGCTGTGAGGCTGACAGTAGATCTGCTGGCATTAAGTGTTTCCGTCACTTTCTTCCTGCATAATTTAACACTTAAAATTTTCTTTCTCATGAAAGAAATATGTGTTTTACTTAAGTTACATTAAGTTATATAACTATAAGCTAAAGGACATCAGCATAATTGTGTGCCCATAGTGCAGCTAATAGGAAAGAAGGCCCACATTTGTGACCAAGAGGATCCCAATTACCATTTGACCTGCAAACATGACCACCACATAGGGATCCACAAGGTCCTTACTGTCGCCTATGAATGCTTTGGTGACATTGGCCATGATGCTAGAGTTCATCTTCGGAAGTCCTTCTGCTTTGTAAATTCTCACATAAAATCTGGCCCATGGTCTTTCAGATGGAAAGCCTTTGGGAATTAAGAGGTTCCTGAAAGAAAAAAAAGAAGCCATTTATTTAAAATTGAAAACTCGGAAAATGAAGTAATAATTTTTCCAACAAAATTGTCGTCTCGAGTTAGCTTGCATTCTGAGAAGACATAGAAAGGCACATGAATTTCCTTCTGCATCTAAACCAAAACGTTTTCTGATTACCACGACAAAGTGATACAGCATGACTCAGCAAACACGTCTATGTGATATAGAACCACAAAATCACAGAACACAATAGGTTGGAGGTGACCTCTGAACATTATCTCTTCGAACCCCCTGCTCAAAGCAGCTCCAGTTAGATCAGGTTGCTCAGGACCTTTTCTAGTAAAATTTTAATATCTCCAAGGACTGAGATTCCCTTCTCTCGCTGGGGAACATTTGGGGGACTCTCCTGTTACATTTGAACACCTTCATGGTAAAAAAAAAATTCTTATATATTTTCTGAAATTCCCTTTTTCTAACCTGCATCCAAAGACTTTCATCCTTCTACTGTAAACTCCTTAAAACAGTCTGGCTCTGACCTCTTCATGTAGGATCCCCCTTAACCTTTTCTTCTTAAGGCTCAAGAAACCAGTCCCCTCATACACACACCTTTCCCTGCAGACCACATGCTCCAGCTCTCCATCATCTTGGTAGCTCTCAATGGACTTGTACTTGGTCCAGTACATCAGCATTGACCAGAAACATTGCTTCACCATCCTGAACTTCTATATTTTACAAGGAAAATACTAATGCACTTGAGTTTATTTAAGGATATGAAAATACCCATGCACACACATCTGATGATAGAGGAGAAGGAACAGCTTTTCCTCATATTTTTTATTCTCTCTTCACTGCTTTTCAGAAATATTTAACCAGTTTCAGATAAATAAACCTTCTGACAGGGATAATCTGGTACCTAGCCAAAGGGCATGGTCACCTCTATCAGCTGCAGAGAAGTGACCTTTATAGGCTCTTCAGTTTAGTTGAGAGGACTGTAAAAACTCTCTCTTAGCACATCGGAACTGCTAGGCGTACAGTACCATCCTGCTATTAAACCTGAGTTAACAAGGAAAATACTGAAAGGAGAGCAGAGGACTTTTGAGGTAGTTAGTAAAAAAGGAAGCAGTAAAAAAGAAATTATTCCAGTACTTTTCAATCTGCTCCTCAGTATCAGCTGTTTTCTGCGTAGCTTGTATTGCGTCACCTTTCCCAGTCACACTGATGTCACACTTCAGGTATCCCTTTGCTCCTGTCCTAATGTCAGCAGGGTCTGTGAGAAGTGCCCACTTGTCACAAAACTGGTGACCTGTAAGATGGACAAGATTTTAACACCCAAATAGAGAATGCAAAAAATGCAAATATTTTTCCTCTCCTTTCCCAGAAAGGGCACTGCAAACATTTGGGCTTTCAGGAGGATTGTGCTGAAGTACGCCTGTTTACCAGACACATCTGGAGAGTCCAAAATGTTGTGTGACCAGAAAGACAAACAAGAGGATTGACCTAGAGCTTGTCAGGAACAAGCTAATTTTCATCTGTGGTTGCTGAGATCAATGATTAAAGACCAGTGGAAGGTCAGATGAGATCAGCAGCTGAATTAAGCCTGCAGCTTTTTGAGGAAAGGCCACCTTTTCTGATGAGAGCTGTTTTAAGATCTCGGTATACCGTCTCCTGCAACAAAACCCTCGCTGGGAGCTGTGGCCAGGCATAACACAGAGAGAGGAGGAAGGAGGGTGGACAGTCATCAGAGGAAGAAGCAGCAGCCAGAAGCAGCTTCAGCTCCCTCTTTCCAGTGGGAAAATGCACAAGACAATTCACCCATGATAGCCCTTGCTGCAGCCCTTCTTGACCAACCCTGCTCAAGCAAGGTCCTGAAACCTCACACTAAGGCCTTGACCGTCACCCTGGGCGTGTACAGGAGTAGGAGGGACTGACCAGAGTGACATGAGCTCAAGATCAAGCCTCAGAAACTGTCTTCCTGTAACAGTGTGAGCAGGAAACACAGGGCAGAATTCACAGACTGACACAGCCTCTGAGTACAGACACAGACCACTCCCTGCGGTCAGGCCGTTTCTCTCTACTGACTGTTGCAGGAGCCCTGAAGGGAGTGCCCTGAATGAGTCTGCCCTTTTGCTGTAACTGGGTGACACCTCTAGCAAGCAGCCTCGATATGTCCATTCCTAAGACTGAGAAGAAACCAGGCCCGTGAGTAATTATGGAAGAAGGATATATACGTGTTTTGTAGATGGTTGTAAAAACAGGCCAAAAAAGGGCAGGTGATCTTTTCTTGGCTTTACATTGCAGAAAACATTGGACAGCTCTGAAGATGGCCGATCAAGTGGATTCATGGTCACCTCCTTCTTCTCCCTCTCATTGGGGTCTGCCCCTCCTCTCGTCTCATGCTCTCCTCACTGTTCCTTCCATGGTCCATCCTGCCTTCCCTCCCTCCATGCCATCTATCCCAACACGTGCAGCAGAGCTTTGGGTGCTCTCCAATGGATGAGTGGAGTCAGGTTTTGTAAACATTCAGCTGCCCCCTCTGGTCCCCTAAAGAAAAGCCAGACTTGGCAAGTGCTTCCCACCCGTGGGCAGACTGTCAAGGTGTTTTCAGTGTCGAACTTTTTTCCAAAAATCTGGCTGGTGCTCTGGTATCCAAATAGGAAAACAATCCAAAAACCTTCTTAAGTTTATGCCTTGCCATAAACCACGACCATCTAAGCGGAAAGCAGGACACCTCCCTTTCCCCTCCTCCCCTGCTTCCCATCTTGTTTAACAAACAAAAAAGGCAGAAAACGCATCACTTACTTGGCTGACCATACACCGTCCCCAGATCTACTTTAAAGGAGCCTATCAGCATGCTTCCAATCAGTTTATTGTGCATAACCTGTCAGAAAAAGGCAGGTTAAATAATGTCACTCTCTTCCCAGCCAGCATAAGAAAGGGTAATCCAAACAAAGATCACATTTGGTTCAGAGGCAATAAACAGCGACATCCAGCACCACCCAGAACTGGGTGTACCTAGCCACAGCAGATACAGCAAGCATTTGGAATCTGTTCTTTACCCAATATTGTGTCAGTTTAGAAACCAATATAGTCACATCCAAGTGGAATCACACTGGTTCATCTCAGGTCCCAGGATTACATAAAGCAGGAATCAGATGGATGTGCCTTCACAGCAGATGCAGTTATATTACTTATCCTGGCAGTTTTAAATAAATCATAATGAATAGAAACACACAGGGCACGACTAGTTTCACACTAGGCTGCAGAAATCATATCACTTTCTGTGCAATAGCTGAATTGCCATAAGAACTGAGTACACCCAGAGGAGAAAGAATTAAAGTGTTTCTCTGCAACATTTCCATAAACCAAGAAGAGACTCATTCTGATCTACTCCCCACAATATTAATGAAATCAGAGAAGTGATATAGATGTAAATGAGAAGGCAAGCAGGCCCCAGTGAGTCTGTCTCCTTATCCTTCCTGACAAGCAAGTAATTTAATTTAATTTAATCCAAATTTGATTAATAATTTTCCTTTGTCATGATCCCTAGATCTATGTACTTCTGTGTCTGCGTTTCAAATACATGCACGTGCTTCACTTTACAGACAAGGCAGAGACTAGCAATATGTTCAAAGGGAAGACTACCTCTAGAACTGTATTTCTCAAAATACCTGGTTTCAGAACACCTTAAAAAGTTAAAACCTATTCCTTGGTTGTGGAAAAGCTTCAGAAAGGAGGCTGAATTGTCTGGAACACCTTGGCCAAACTGCAAACAGAAACTATGCCCATGGGATTCTAGCCCACAGAAGCTAAATCTAAATGTTGGAGCTAAACAACCAAGCCTCTAAGAGCATTTTAGGAGTCTGGAATCCATCATAACCTGGCTTTGGACCTATACATCCTACATAGGGATACAAGACTTCCGTGATTTTGCACTGAATCTGTCATGTGACTTCATTTTGTGCATCTTTCTTCAAGACAAGGAGACATACATTCCAAAGTAAAGATCACTGACACCTTCATCAAGATGTACCTGAAAATTCAGGAGCTTTCTAGCTCCAGCATAATGTCATTGCCCGTTAAAGGCCTGGGGCCACTGTGCCCCTGTGATTTAGGGAAAACACTCAGTTGTCCTTGGTAATTCCTCACTTCAACATGGAAGGAGGTTTTAGGGCTGAAAAATCAAGAGCGGACAAAGGAGCAGTTGTATTTTATTCCACTATTAAGGCTTAAAAATTAAGCAACCTTCATGTGGGAGAAGAGTCAGTGTGAAGCCAACACTTCATGCACTCACTGTCGATGCTTTTCCTCGGTCCCTGATGCTGCCAGGTCCCATCATAGCACTGGACCCTTCTCCTCTGAGGTTGGAGTAGGGCATATGGGGCTGGGGAAGAAGCCGTGAAAATTGGTGGGTCTCATCCTGAAGCCAGGCAAAATTTGAGCTTTGGAGGAACTACATGGAAACAGCAGCTTGCCCAAATCAACTGATCCGACATGGGATGGACTGAAGGGGGAAGAAGACTGTAGCCTTTCCGTAGCCAAAAGAAAAGGAGTTCTTTAAGATCCAGAAACAAGAGGATATATGGTGGGTCCAAAGCGGTGTTGTTTCATTTCTCTTTGCATTTTCTCTCCAGGGCATGACAGCATGCTCAGAGAGCACTAGATGTGTAAACCTCACTTCTCCATCCTCCAGATTTGCTGTGTGAAATGTGGTGCCCCTGGGTAAATGTCACCTGCTCCCACTGAAATGATGCTCGTTTCCACACAGTGCTTTTAACTGCAGAGGAAATAACCCACTGCTTCTGTTAAATGCTCTGCATCTTTCCTGGTACTTTTTTTCCAAGTGTATTTTTTTTTTCTAATGTAACAAAGCAGGTGAGCCTGAAGCTTATAGCAAACACCTCTTGTCTTCTCTGAGAGGCAGGATCACATCTGCATCATATCTAATTAAAGGTTTATGTCTTTCCACACCTCATGGACTCTATAGATGAGTTTTTTCTTCAGATTTTCTGAATGAGGACAAGCATAAACCGTGTTAAACTGGGGAATATTTCAGTACTGAAGATACAGGTTTAGTTTTACCACAGCATTACTACAGATTGCTAGAATGCATTGGAAGATATTAATGAAGAAAAAAATCTATTAATTATTAGGTGCAGAGAAATGGAAAACCTAATTTTCCCCTCAAATGCAGGGTTTGAATACAGCTAGACTAACTGCTAAACTGATGGACAATGGCAATAACCTTTTTTTGTTTCCCTTGAGCTTCCGTATGCAGATGAGTTTGTTTTCACAGATTAAGATAATTCAGTGCACGAATGATTGCTTGTAATGGAGGCTGCTGATCTTTGTTTCTCCTTAAGTGAGATTCATTCTAAGCAAGTGCTACGAAACTTTCCATCCCCGGGGTTTTCTTCCCTCCTAGCACACATATTTTCTCTATTTGTTTCTACTCCCCTGATATATTGCATTCTCCAAAACCATGTTGCAGGGTAATGAATCTCTGTTTTCAGTAGCATATATGAGCATGGCACTGGGTTAGTTAGGTGGGTTTTTTTAAAAAAAAAAGAAGTCATTTTTATCTAGAAGACCTTTAATTTCTTGGTGTTGCACCTTCACCAGCTATAAATCAAATAAGTTTTCTAAGCCTGATGAAACTGTGCAGATTTACAGCAGGTAAACACACCCAACACACTCGGAAAGCTGGCACTCTCCCCTCCACCACTGGATATATGGAATCCTTATCAAAAGAATGTGAGATAGGAAAGACTGACCATATCTTGGAGAAAAATAACCATATATCCCCAGGGAGCAGAAGCTCACAACAGTTGATGCCTCAGTACTGTGCTGATACTAACCATGTCAGAAACACATATAGGGTCCATAGACTGTGATATAAGTGATAACAGTCAGATGATATCTACTCCCATGCAGAAGATGGGCCATTGTCAGCCTGTAATAAACTCTGTCCTCAGGGTTAAGTGAAGGTCAGATCTGCAGATACCTTGTCTAGATATGAATTTCATGTATTTGAGCTGTGCATATAATATAGTGGATTTGACCTGGAGCTTAGGATTCAGACTGTCAATTTACTACCAGCATTGAAAACCTAGTTGTCCAGCTGGCCATGTGTAAATGGACACTTTTTATTTCTCTAGCTGCAAAAAGTCACTTTATTAGTGACTTGGCAAAGCAGGTACAAAGTGAACATCAGATATTTCCTATGGCTCCTGACCACTGCCTGTCTTTGTCAAGCACAACCAGCACAGACTCTTTGCTGTTATACTTTTTTAAACAGTCAGAGCACTTCAGGCACAAAGAACCTTTCCTGGGCAACATCTCATTGCTCATTTCTCTGTCCAAGTGGTGGGAGTTTTGGCAGTAGAAATGCGAAAAATGGCTCATGAAGGGTACAGCTTGCAATATTTCTAAGTAATACAAATACAGCACTCTCCAGAGTCTCATGAGATCTTCCTTAATTCCTTAGCAGCTTTGCTAAATGTGGTGATGAACCTCAGGAGCTTCAGATAAGATAATTAGCATGGCTCCATAGACTTAGCCTTCCAAACTGCAAATCATTATCTAGTGCCCCAAGTCCAAGAGCATGTGTTTCTTCTGTCAGGGCTGTTCTGAGATGTCACATAGCTTCACTGGGACTTTACCGGCAGCAGGAAGCGGGAGCAGCACTGAACACTTGGAACCCACGTCCATGCTAATAGCAACCAGCCGCTGACACTCCGAGACAGCCCAAGAGCCACCGCTAAGGATAAGGATAAGGAACCTGGACAGTTTAATTAGAAACAGTTGCATCTGAGGAACTGAGATAAGCCAGAAGTTTCAACCCAGTCATTTGAAACAAGTGGCAGCTTGAAAGTTAGAGGGATGGAGACAATGCTGACAAGAATTAACTAAACTGAGTTTTCTCATTCTGCCTTGCAGATTGCCAAGACAGCAATGAGCGTCCCTGAAAATACACACTTAATCTTCCTTTAGGGTTGTGTTCCTTCAAATCATTGCCAGCTGCCTTTCCTCTCTTTTCTCTACACTATCCTTTCTCTTTCCCATACTTCATGCTGACTTTGTAGCACTCTTGACACCTAAAACTATTTCTCTTTTTAATCACATTAGGGAGAATAATTCAGAGATGAAGTGACACAAACGACAACGACCTTTACTTACTGTGCGAAGCTTTCCTAGGTACTTACAGAGATGTTGATTATTTTGTCAAACAGGAACACCTGTGGTCCAACGAAATCAAACACAAAGTACTGTGGGAAAAGGGGACAACAGATCAGAATCGTCCTTGTGCTGGTAGCCAGCGCTGTCAGCAGCATGGTTTAGCTTTTTGGGTTACTGCATAGAGCTCCAGTGAGACACTGGGGGTGTTGGGGAGGCAGTGGTGCACACAGCAAAACCTTCTTCTTGCTCCCTGGTTCGTGTCTGCTGTGGCCCAGACTGGTTTTCTACTCTCGTCCTCGCATGGTTGCACAGCGCTGCCCTTCACAAACACCCGTGGCCCTCACTGGGCATCAGAGAGTATTGTCAAAATGGACAGGATGCACAAGGAGACCCAAAGGACCAGTTGGTTTTGGGAGTTGTTTTGGTCTCATTTGTCACTAGCTGGGACAAACACACGTCAAGGTGTTATGGCTGAAAGAGTGCAATGGTAGAAAAAGGGAGGTTGGGGGGCAGTTTAGACAAATCTTCTAAATGGATCATTTGAAAAAATGCAGAGGCAGTGGTAGTAGGGCAGGATGCGGTGGAGGGAGTGGGGAACAGGATGGACAGAGCTTGAGAAGAGAACAAACAAATAGAGCTAAACCCAAGGGATCTATTGCTGGTGTTCGGCCGAGCTTGAAACTCAAACAGCTCCTGAACAGACCTCCCTGCTCAGCCATGGAGGTGCTACAAACTAACCTCATCCCTTTTTGAGCTACCAAGTGGTGGAGGACACACAAAGCCGTTGAAGAAAGTGCCTTCTTCAAGAGAAAGCACCTACCTCATTGTAGAAAGGGCTGTTTGTGCCTTCCTTTACTGTCGTTTGCTTCTTCTCGTCACCTATCTCGATGATCACCACAGGGTCGATGTTCTCACCCACCAGCTGCCTGGCCTCGATGATGGTGATGGCAATCTGTGAGGCACAAGGACACCACACTCACTACTGGGCTCAGGTCCAGCCCACCTTCATGGGCACATAAGAGCCTTCATCCTCCTGCTCACCTGGTAGTTCTGGGATTTCATCTCCTCTCCATTAATTCTGGTCATCAGCTTTGCCCTGTTTAAATGACAAAACATTAGGCATCTCTAGGCAAGAGCTGGTACCTGGACACATGTTGGAAAGGCTTCTCATCACTAAGCAAGCATTGATTATGGCAGGTATCTTTGTTGTGAACTGTTAGGCTTGAATTCATCAGGAGAGACCATCTCCATCTTTCTCATATACTTGGTAACAGGTAAATGTTATTCATCCACACAGACTAGTGCAGCTACCTGCCATGCATGGGAATGATTTCACTGGTTGATCCCGTCAAACCTGACTCCATTCCTCCCCTGTATGAAAAAAACAATTTTACAAGCTCTTGGCTACAGAGATCGCTGTCTCCTTTGTTTCATTTTTGTTAGCAGCACAGTTGAGGCACTCAGCATCCATTTCCATCTCTCCCTGCACTGGATAGCATCTGGTGACAATCTTGAGTTGATAATACTTTGCTGACAAGTACATCCCACCCTGTCATGTGGGAGAGCAGGAGTGAAGGGATCACTGCTGTCAGCAAATGGATTTTCTGTCAGCAGATGTATTATCCTAGGGCAACGCCATTCCCAAGAAGGATGGAAAAGGTGTTTAAGTAGATATTAGGTAAGGCATGCCAAGGAGCACCTTTTCCTCTTTGGGCATAGGGATCCAAAAACATTGGACAGTGCATCGCTGTTCATTAGGTCTTCCTCTGCCTCTTCCTGTCTTCCAAGAATGTTATGGTGAAGACTTGCACTTTCATCATGATCACCTGATGAAAAAACAATCAAGAAAGTAAAACCCACCTCTGGTCTCTACTAGCAAAAATCTAACTTGGAATGGAGCAGTGAATTCATCAGAATTAAATTAAAATTTTATTTATTTGGGTGTCACAATTAGAAACACAGGAGTGGTTTGTATTGGGCAGCATCAATTACATCAGCAGCTCCCCTCCTGTGCAAAATCATACACCATATGAATTGTGGCTGCAGCCACTGTCTTCACCCCATGCGCCCCCAAAACAAGCGCACGCACACTAGTCACATCTGACCATCTCTCATCTGCTAGAAAGGCATCAGGACGGATTATTGCTGTATTTTGTGCATACTACTCTGCAGCAGTGAGTCTGCCATCCGTGGTTTATTGTAAAAGTCTGACACGCTTCAGTCCCTTCCAAGCAACCAAAGTGGAGCCGCTTAGAAATAATTTCTGATCTTTCCTCTTTGCAGAGATGATGAACTGGAAGATCAAGGACAGAAAAAGAGAGTTGAAGAGCATGATTCATGGGATCTCTTGTAGAAAGTTATACTCAGATGAGACAAATTGCTTCCAGAAGTGCTTATTTTTCTTCCTGACTATAAAGCGAATCTCAACAACTAGCTCAGATGTTCACATCTACATTTGGCCAGAGAAGCGCTTCCCACACTGCTCTGCTTTGTCCTCCTGGTCTGACAGAAGTCCTACCAGCAGCATCTCTGCCCCTTACTGACCATGTCTGTGTTCAACACCTGCCTTGGGAAAGGGAGCCATGGGTTTTAGGTGAAAGTTTAAAATTTGGGTGCCTGTAGTTCATTCCAATAATTAAATTTGTAAGGAAGAAATGTTCAGTCACTCTGGACGAGAGTTATTTCGGGTCCAGAAGCTGTCAACTGGTACCTGCGACAGTAAAGATGACTTACCCAGCAATACCCAGGGGCTTAGGTGACCTTATGGATGACCTTGCATCAAATGAAAGGAAACACATCCAAGTGCATCTTCTGCAAGCATTCTGTGGTGTTGTGCTCCCACTACAAAACCATACAAAGGGTTTTCACAGTGCTTCCTTGTCTCTTTGCAAAGGTCTGGTCACTTGAGGGTTGTTTAGAAACTGGTGGTGGTAGCAAAGGACCACACATTTTACAGTAAAACTCACTTGGATATCTCTCATCAAGACTGAATATTCCTTTTTCAGCTGGCTTCCAGCAGCCTCTGCTCCAAGGCAATCCACCAGACAGGAACAGACAGACACAACTTTTGCTTGTGCTGTGGGGAAACCAGGCATGAGCCAGCTCCTTTAAGGTTCCTCCACTAGCAATCTCATATAACATATGGTCAATGACGGTTGCTCCACTAGCAATCTCATATGACAGGTATGTTCCACAAGTGCCCCTCTGGCTCCTGTCCAACCTCTCAAGAACAAAGGGAAGGTGAACTTGTCTCTGTATCCATGTAGGCATAGCCTGATTTTCAGTCCTTGAGGCGAAGGCGTCTGTTCATAGTTTTGCATCTGTAGCACCAGGTTCCCATGACTACCCTCCACATCCTATTTACTCTAGACCGTGCTGTTTGATTATGGGCTTGTAGTACTCTGCATTGTTTGCTCTGAGGCTAAAGCAGATAAAACCTCCCCCCAGCTGGGGGACGGGTGTGTGTCAGTGTGACGCCCTGCCTGGACCCCTTTTTGTGAGTTCCATGTTTTTTCTATTGAGATGTAAACTCTTTGCAATGCTGCTTTTGCTTTACAGCTCCATTTTCCTTACATTTTAATATCTGAATAGCTATCCTTTTTCCCTCTCGATATCCACATGTATGTTGTGCATAACTGACCAGCAGGAGTTATTCCCCTGTATGGATCCAGTGACAGAAACATGACATCCAGTGACAACATTTCCCCACTGCACATTTCCCCGATAGATCTCCTAAGCCCAAATCGCAATCAAGACAAGAGACAACCGGTGATTGCTGTCTCTTTGCTGGCTGGGACTCTTCAGTGACAAAGGCACTAATGAAATAGATTAAGATGGAGCATAGTCTATCCAATAATTCAAACACAATTAGTTGAAATGAAGAGATTTGAATGCTCACATGGAAGACTGAAGCAAACTACAGTAGAGTGTATCTTGTAAAGAACGGTATATTTCATGGAGCATAAGATCAATAAACTCCACCATATCTGTAATTAGTAAGAAGTTTAATGGTCTGTTGTTTTCTCTGCTCCAAAAGCCCCAAATCCTTGCTGTGAGAACCAGAGGACAATCTTTTTTTTAAAATAGTGGCCTTTAGATAAATAATGCTTATGGCACAAAATATGTATTCCTGTTTATGCCCAACAGTGAGTCGAGACACACATGGCTGATTTATTACAACACTATTCAAGGGCTGCACTAAAGACATAGTAGTCCATTTTTTAAAAATTCCATTAAATTTGAGGCATGAGACTGCAAAATCAAACTACAGAAGGTGAAGACTCTGTTGTGGCTGAACTACAAGTTTTGGTGAATGGGAGGACTGTGGTGATAGGAGAAAAATTACAGTGGTGGGATGTGCAGGGGAATGTATCCTTAGCTTGGAAACCATTGCTGTGTTAAGGGAAAGAAACAGGAGACTCTGCATGTGTGATGGATGTACCCCCAGCTGTTAAAAATAAAAAATAATTATTAAAAATAAAAAATAAAATTAAATGAAAGAACTGTCATACATTTAAGAAGAGAATTGCTACTAAGTCGTGCTCCCATCTTTATTGAGCCAGCCCATCCCAGCCATCAAAGCCTACTCAGGTTGTGTTCTTATGATTTCTAGAAGAAGCAGATCTTCTGGAGCAATTACACACCTGTAATGGATTGTCTCTCTCTAGAACAGAAAAAAAACTTTTAAAAATGTGTCATCTCTCTATGGTAAGAGTCAGAGTGACTTTTTTGTTTTATTCTACCAGATACAGGAATCTGAACTCACAGAATTCGAAGGCGGACTTAATGAAATAGTTAATGCAAAAAGAATTAGCTCTCTGTTTATTTGGGAGTCACAAGTAGTTTACTGCCTGTTTTATCAATACTAAGCCCTAAGACACCTGTTCTTCCCAGTTGCAATATTGATTTCTGAGGCCTTACCCAGCGCATCTTTGTTTGCAATAGTTAACCCTTTCTCGCCTTTCTTCTTCTTCTTCAGCTTCACACCAGCAAACAGCCCCTTTCTGAAAAAATAAAGAAAAGCGATCAGTGCATTATCTTCAAGCCCTCTTCTATGCTGGACTCTAATTTAACTCAAGGAGCTGTTAAGAGGAAGTTTTGACTTCCAAGGAAGATCACTATATTCTGATTTTCCTTTTATTGAAAGCAAACAAGAGAAAGCTCTGGTTTTATGCTTCATCTAATTTTGCTTATTTTTAAAATTTGTCTGTGTACAGGCAAACATACTGAGAGAAGAGCCAAAACTTCTTTTCAAACCAAGACAGAAAGAGGCAAAGAAAGGAAATCCAAGATACATTTCCAATCTACTGACTTCCCGCACACAAATTTCTTATGCCTGTGACAAGACCAGAGATAAAACTTCTCACAAATTACAGGTTCCAGATCAAAAGCAGTTTTCCAGTGAAATAAGATGAACATAAAAGTGTTTGTGTGTATTTCCTTGATGAGAACACTAACTGTGTCAGTGACACATACACTACAACAGCTCTCTCCCTTCCAGCAGCAAAGCCATGAACAGGGCTGGACAAGGATTTCTCCTCAAGATGTGTTACAGAGATGTTTCAGCCCAGCATCAACCCCAGCTACCACTGCACAGGGCTTTTCTGCCTCCCACTTCTTCCTATACTGGATTAGGGAATTGATCCAGACTAAAACCAACCAACCCAGTTAAAGCTCAGTGAGGTCGTTTGTCAGATCATGCCTAGCTAAGGTGGCTCTATAGCCTCGTTAGGGCTTCCTTTTTCCTTGAGTTCAACTCTGTTTTAGCCACAACTTCTTTCCAGGAGCCTACCACAGTCATGCAGGAACGAGGTGCGTTCCTGGGGTGAGATGCAGACAGGGAAGCATGGCCCCAGTCTGGTTGTCATCACAGAAAAAACATGTCAAGACATTCAGCAAGAACCCACAGTGCAGTCCTGCTTCTTGGGAAACTGATGGCAAAAGTCTCTGTGGTCCTGAGGCAGCAGCCAGCACAGCTGCTGAGCTAAAGACAAGGCACCTCTCCCAGCACCTGCACATGCCCGGGCTGGCTGCTCAGAGGTCTGTGCTGGTTGTCCTTTTCCTGTTTCACTCTTCTGTTGAGTCCTTCAGCTCTCCAGTGAGTAGAGAGAAAGAGCAGTTTTGTTTTGTAGAGTTGGTTTTAAAGAGGGGGGCTAAAGGAAATATTTCTACAAATGTCATACAGTATTTTCCCCTCAACAAAGGGTCTCCTTTTTCCTCCCATAGCCACCAGTCCCTCCTTCTTGGTTTCCAGCTAGCCTCATTCCACCAAACACTTTGTCTGCCCTATGTTGGGGTCCGGGAGCACCAGTCCTGGAGTAGGACACTGATGCTGTTCTGGCACTTTGCAAGCACAGAACAGCGTATGACTACAAGGCTAATAACTTTAACAGTCCCCACACGTGACCCACTGTCAACTTCATACCCTAGGCTGAGGCAGGAGCTGATACTGCAGCGAAGGAAAGCTGTGGGAAGAAGATGGGACTTCTCCCCTTTGTCCCTGAGCAGGGCTCTGCATAGCATCCCTTCTCGGGAACGTGGAAGAGAAACACCATTTTCTGTGCTAAAGCTGTGCCCAGAGAGCCCTTTTCAATCCAAGATCTTAGAGAAGGGAGGAGGAAGCATCTGTCTGTCCTGCAATTGCTTCACACTTTGGGAAAGGGCTGGTTGGTTTTTGTTTATCTTCATGGTTTCCTTATCTTTTCTTCCTTCCACAAAGTGTGTGTTTTCAAGTTGCATGATTCATCATTCAAGAGGGGGCTGGGGAGTGGAAATCAAATTTCTGAGCACTGGAGTGTGCAGTTTAATTTTTCCCAGTTTCTGAATGTTTCTGGAGGCTTGAACCAGTGCTTAATAATGACCCTTAGAGTCTGCACATGTCTTTTCTGCTGCCAATAAAGGTCTGGCAAAACAGTAGCAATAATGTAGGAAATATAAACAGAAATTCTTCCTTAATGGCAAACTGGACAGTGCTTGGAATAGCGGTGGGTGATAATGGACTCTTGGCTTTGAATGCATGAACTAAAACAAAAAAAGAAAAAAATGGGAAAAGAAATCAGTAGAACCAAACAAGGTCTGAAAGGCTATTTTCATTAAATAAAAGCCTGTGGATTAACTAGACCAACCTGACTTATACTCAGAAATCCAAAGTCACTGCAAATGATTCACCTGGCTTTATTTGATGGTGAAAATGTAAATCTCACTGTCGCAGATCTTACCTGCTTGCTGAAATCAACATAGTTCTGATTTCATATTACATAATACTGAAATATGTGGTTCTGTTTGCAGGCAATTTTGTCCTTTTCAACTTGAAATGTCAAGAAAAACATTTCATCTATCTGAAACATTTCATTTTGAAATGTTGAAATTACGTGCTTTTATATTTTGAAAATATGCTTCTTCTTTACACCTCCTTTTTGATTGCTGAAACATTCACTAAATCCCACATAAATTTGCAAGCAGTGATGGATTCCAACCCACCCGGAACTTCACTTTTATTAGTATACCACTCTGTACTATTTTCCCAATTATTGATCACATTGGTTTAAGAGGAGCTCTCTGCAGGCATGATTTCATACTAGAGTTTTTTCCAAAGAAACAAATATGCTGTGTATTTCAGAGGGAGAAACAACTTATGCTGCTCGAGAATTTTGTGCTTGTAATTCTACTGACAAACAAACCAGGTGGTGAGAGCAGGAACACAAAGGATTTAGCAACATTTTTCCAGTTTTGTGCTGGCCCCAAGCATGCAGTGATAATCAATCAGACCTTTTTTTTTTTTCACCTATCATAAGAGGACTTGTTTGTCTAAACTGTAGGAATAAAACTTTTCCTGGGGAAGCGCACCGCCACACTAGCCCAAACAAGCAGGCAGCCACGAGCTGAGCAAACCTGATAGCAATCAATGCTCAAACACCTGAAATCACCTGCAAACTCAAGGTGCATTTAGCTCTGGAGAAAACGTTACTGCAAACTGGGAAAGGAAGATGTTAGTGTTTGAAAGTTGTGTTCAGAGCAAGCAAATTAAGTTTACTGGCCAGGCCCAAGAGGAATGTCAGCAATGCTGGGCACAAACGCAGAAAATGCACAACTTCTGTGCTCCAGAGAACAGCAAAACCCAACCAGTACGAGTGGAATGTAGTACCAAGACAAAAAATGGTTCAAGCGAAGCAGGAGTCACAGGGCAACTGCAGGGAATGGCCATTACTACAGCCTGATGTGGAAATGTGGATGTGTTATGTGATTTTTATGTTTACATAACATCAAAACTGCTTAAGACAGAATCGCAGAAGGTGCCATGTAGCGACAGAAAGAGAAACAGCCAAGCTTGAGACAACTTCACAGAAGCCAACAACAAAATCCATCTTTGAAGCAAACCAGATTTCAATCTCAGCTTTTTAGTCTGTCAGAAGTTTGGGCACAGAGAGACAGCAGGGTGCACCTGAGCTCTCGTGCACCCCTGGCCCCACCAGCTGCCTCAGCCAAGGGCAGCTGTGGCCAAGCAGAGAAGTGTCCCCCCAAAGCACTGGACAGGTGGCAAGCACAAGCCACATGCAAGTCACAGCTATTGGGAAAGGAGAAAAGCACAGGGCTGTTCACCAAGATGGCAGGGCAGCGTTCATGACACACAGGATTTGCCAGAGAGAATCTTCTCTGTAAAGGTCTAAGCTAAGTAAATGAAGTTTTCAGGGAATTGTAGGTATCAATCCCTCACAATAGACAGGCTCCATCACTCTCATATGTAAACTGCTCATCATCCAGTGATGGTGTACGTGCTCCAAATATTGTGCACATGGGTAACATCCATGATGCTTAATAAAATCAGTTAGCCTCCTTAAAAAATGTTCTGTGGATACTCTTTGTGATAGAAAGGCTGTTCTCTTGGAAAGAAAAAATAAAAGTAAGCTTTCTTCAAATTTCCAAAAGAATGTTTCTTTTCACATCATCTTCAAGACATAAATTCAATCAACTGCTGAAAATTACTCCTTTCCGTCTCCCCACGATTATGAAAATGTTCACAGGAAAATGTTGCCAAGAAGGGAAAGTTTCAGGCTGCCATGCAGTTTCACCAGATTAGATTATAACCCCAAAATTATTCACACCCATCACTTATCCCCAATCCAGGCATAAAACTGTGAGTGCCACCTCAAGATCAGCCCCAAAGATGTCATGAGGAAATGTCTCCTGTGTTCCCCACAGGACCTCCTGGCTGTCAGCAAGGCACAAACACAACACTGCAAGAATCTGGGAAATCGGGAGAGACTTGGGGTGCAGGAAAAGCCTTTCATCTGTCTTTGACCTGTGGTGAGGTTGGAGGTTGTTATTATTGAGGCAGTACTTCAGTGAAGATTTAGCCCTCTGTATGCTATGTGATACACAAACACACATAAGGATTTTCTTCCTTTCTGGAGCCAACAAGCTGATTTAAGATATAACAAAACAAATTCATGTCCAAAGAGAACATGAAGGAAAGAGTTCCTACAGGCTACCAATAGGTTTCCTGTTGTAACTGCCTTAACTACAAGCAATTAAAAATCAGCCATCTCAGCTAATCAAGAACACTGCTTAGTTCAAAGAGGGCTGAGTCTCTCAGGTCCTTCCACATGTGAGTTGTGAAAAAATCTGGAGTAAGAACAACCTTTTCTCTTCCACATATGTATAGTGACAATGTGGGTCCTAGTTTCATTGAGGTTTCCCTCGAAATAGTAAATAAGAGTGGGACACCAGCCACACCACAACCTTTAACTATAGTCAGACCATGTCAGATTTGCACCAGAAATCCGTAAATACAAGGGTTCCTTTCCGCTTAACAGTCCACTGGGTCTCTGAATTAATTTTCACACAAACTGTATTCTGCTCTCATCAAGATTTATCCATGGCAGCTTCCAGCTTTCCGGCTTGTTAGCTTTCCAAAAATCCTTTCATGCCCTTTGTTTTTCATTTAAGCTGACCTGTCATCACAGAGGCTTCATGACCACTTCTTGCACTGCATAATGTTCTTGCA